ACTAACACAACAGCAGCACACATATTACTAAATGGCACAATAATGGAAACAGTTTCTTTCTGGAATCTTTATGCTAAGCTAGGATAACTAGCTACTGGAAACTGGAAATTCCACATAAACCATAGTGATATGGATGTGACGATGTAAAATAAAAAATATTGTATTTATTGTATAACTTTATTGTTGGAATAAGGTTTGATACTGAACATACAGAATATGGACCGGCTGAATAACATGGGTTTGTTATATTCTGCAAAACTTGGTTTGCACACATCCTTCATTAGCTGCCACTAGTATACCATCTGTTCAGAAAAAAAAACCCACTTTGAATTGAGTTGCAGTGACAGGCATCTCAATTCCATGGAAACGCTTGAGGGCTCAAGTGGGGCAGCAGCAGCTTAGTCTGTGGGGACTTGGCTTGGGAACAGGAGGGTGGCCGGTTCAAGTCAAACACGGACCACAGTAAAAGAGAATAGACTGGAGAGGTACCAGTTCAACTCATGGGCACTGCTGAGCTCCCCTTGCTGCCCAGCACTCTCATCACAGTGTAGCAGGCATGACAGCATGACTGCGACAGCTCAGTCTAGAGGGTGCACAATGGGATTCAGCTCATCTTTTAAAAACTCTGCTGTGTTCTTCCCCTTCCTTGGTCCAGATACTTGCATCCTGTCATGTTGCCGGTTTAATTTTAGAGTCATGTCTGTCCCACGCTCCCTGCAGAGTGTCACTGTCAGTCAGCAGCAGTGTTGGAGCAGCAGCAGATGGACCTGGCGGGCCCAGAGTTCCAGTCTGTGCTGGACGTGAGCAGCTTGCTGAAGCTCAACGCTGCTGGAGACGGCATGAAGGACGACAGAGAGGGTAAGACACAGGGATGTGAACAGAGTCGCACTGAACACAGTTTATTGTGTAATTACATCTAGCAGTAAAGCTTGCTGGTTGGCGTCACATTAGTTTCAGTTATGGTTCTGTGAAGGTTTTAAGATCTTTTTTCAGTACTTTTATGAGAGAAAACAGCTGACTGATATTTTTAATATACTATTTTATTCAGTTTTGGTGGTTATGCATTGAGGTTACATGATCTCTATAACAGTGAATGGTTCACTATACTGTGTGTAAGAGAAACATATTTAATTCTCTTGTAGGAGCTGTTGACCTGATTGATGAGCTAATGTCTACTGATGGTAAGCATCTCAACACCTTGCTTAACTAACTTTATAAATGAAAACCTCTGTCCAAAAATATGATGCTAACATGCGCTGATCTTTAGCAGGTACAATGACAACATCCTACATCCATTTGCCAATTAGCACTAAACACAAAGTAAAGCTGAGGCTTATTTTTGCAGGTAATTGTTCATAAAGGAAAGTTTTGTAAGTTAAGTTTTGACTTCACGGTGGTGGTAGAGAAAAAGTATCACTAAATTCAGTAACTTTCAAGGTCTGGGAACCATAAAATGTACTGAAAAGAAATTATGGTCATCCATTTAAAAGATGCTGAGATATTTCCCAGGGTAAAGGAAAACTTCAGGTGTTGCTACAAGAAAACTCAGTCCGTCCTCTGAGTACCAGATTCCTGTACAAAATTTCATGGCAATCCATTCGATATTTTTTAAAAAGTAGTTGACCTGACTGATGTTGCCAGATCTAGTGCTCTGCTGCCAACACGGCTAAAGATCTATACCTAGTCTTTCTATGTCTCTGTCTTGTTCATGTTTTACTGTTTTTTTCTCCTTAATGTTCCTCTCTCCTCATGCAGGCATAGACTACAGCTTCAACCTGGACGACAACGAGGGAGTGTGTGACCTGTTTGATGTGCAGATCCTCAATTACTGACGGCTAACAGCGCCTCTGCTGAACGCTTATACAAACTCTTAAGACGCTTCAAACATACGATTTCCCATTTTTGTTACAATTGCACAGCTGATACTTAAACATCCCATTTTCATCTTTAAAAAAAAACCTTTACACACATTAGACTTCACAGATGTCTGCCAGACAACTTCACTGTATTATACTGGCCTTTTGATCTTAGCCTTTTGACATGTATAAAGATGGATGGTGTGTCTCCACTACTACTAAAAATATCCCAGATAATGGGCGCTGCCGTCTTGCTCTGCTGAAGTCACTGGGAGATGGTCTGTGCAGTAGAGATCGGGGTTGGATCTGCACAAATCAAGGTCCCACTCGGCCGACTCAATCGTCCCTTTTCATCGAATTAAATAATAAGAATGATAATTAAAACCAAACAGGAAAAAAAAGAACACCTGAACACACATCAGCGCCATGAGAACAACCTTCAGTGACAGAAACTATCTTGCGTCTACTTTTGATGTTTTTGTTCTGATAACATCTGCTAACATAGAGAGGGCAGGGTTTATGGCCTGTACTGCAGCCAGCCTCCAGGGGGCGATCAAGATGTCACGTAGTCCACCTTTATATACAGCCTATGCTCTCAGCCAACACAAAACAAAGAGTGCCTGAATTACTTTACAGTAAGATATTTATGTGTCCATCAGGTTTTTAGTGGTTTACTGGGTAAATACTACAACATTTCAGAGAAATTAGGGACCTGAAGGGAAGTAAGCTGGAACAAATCCTTCAGCCTCCTACTGCACTTTTGCATGTATGTATCTTTTGTATTTTTCCATGTCCAGTGGAAAGCATGAGACTTGAAAAAACTGCTTTACTTTCTATGTGAACAGTTGGGACTGTGACAGTGTGCTTGAGCTGATTCACAGTAACTCAGTAATAATTCAGTATTGGCTTCTTTCTAACATTTGATACAGGGTTGATAATTAGTTCAGGGTATGTAAGAAAGTAACTTTCTTCACATGGAAAGAATATTGTGTAAAAACATAACAAATTCCATAGTTATATTTCATAAAATGGCATATTGTATTTAATGAGTGAATGGTTTGGTTGCGTTTTGTAACCTCGTTCTCATGTGAAAATGCCAGAATGTTTTCTTTTCTAAATTATTGTGACACTGCCGTTTTAGGCCTCTTGAGTTATTGTTTTCTTTTTAAAAAGTCTTACAGTTATATATTTGAATAATTCATATTTTTTACTTAATTTTTAGAAAAAAAAAATCTTGGTTCAAGTTTGTTGAAACTGAAGCTGGTTGACTGCCTTTATCGTAATTTAAAAAGTGAATTAGTCATATTTCTGATTGGTAATATCAGCTGTTGAGAGCCTTAAATGGCATTTTTGTATATTTATAGTTTTCTTTGATTACGAGAAGTCATGTTTTTGTTACATTTTGTTGTTTATTTGCACATTTCTGAAAGTTTTTCAATAAATGGATTTAATCTGGATTTACACACTTCATTTCTGACAAGTAATGACCATAGTTTAATGTGAAAATACAAAAGGAAAAACAATCACAGATTACTTCAACTCACGTTACGTAAGACTTGTTTGTTTGAGAGTTGTCAAGGTTGTCTAAAACAACAGAGAAGGCTTTGTTAATCACACATTATCTAACCGCTTCTCCCAGGTTTAAGGCTTTTTATTTTTTATTTTTTGGCTTAGTAAAATGTTTTGCTCCATTTAACAGATGGCAAACCTCAAATGGTTTCCTCATGAGACAGCACACGGTCCAGAGCATGACCTGCAGCATCACTTAATAAACCACTTGATTTGTACCAGCTGGCACGCAGCAAGACAAGTGAAGAAACATTTAAACTATGTAGTGCTGTGTTTCTTATTTACAATTGGAGACAATGTTTTTATTCGATACTGTTGACACTCTGTCGAAGCTCTCCAGGGTAGTAGCCCTTGAACTTTTATCCACAAAGTCATGCAAGGAATTTGACTCATTCTTCACAGCTATAAAACATTGGCAGTAATTGTGAAATATCCCAAATTCTCCTCTGCCTTGATATTCTACATACAGGCTTTTTCAAAAATGTTTTTAACTGCATGGCATTGGAGCTTCTGCAAATAATACTAATCTACTCTCTTAAAAAGAACCAGCCCTATATGTAAGACCTCCATTTTTAAGTAAAATCATTGTTTTTCAACAGCTTTAAACAATCATTTAGATTTTTTTTCAGTCAGGATTTAGACTTAAACTCAGTGGAAACGTTTCAGTCTTGGTATTATTAAATCTGTGCTGCATTCATCATGGTCGACCACAAAATATTACTCAACAGACTGAAAAACTGTGTTTGACTCTGTTAAATTGGTGTGAATCCTATTTGAAGGACAGAGACTACTTTGTTGTGATCGGTAATTACACATCTGAGCGTACAAAACTGACGTGGAGTTCCTCAAGTCTCCATTCTTGGGCCTCTTACGTTCAACATCTACATGTTACCACTACATTATTTCATTATATAACAACAAAATATATTCAGATGACACACAGATTTATGTAACAATATCACCAGATGACTATGGTCCCATACAAGCACAAAATGTCCTCCAGTTGAACAAAAATAAAACAGAAACCTATTTCTGTTCTGCATATCTTATAATTTCCCTCTTCTCTAAAGCACTTTGATCTGCCCTGACATTAAATGGTGCTGTACAAATAGCCTTTTGAATAAGGTGGCGTAACTACACAAACTTAACGTAACTTTACAAAGGGAAAGCACAAATAATACTGACTTGTGTTTATCTAAATAGTTAGAGTGTCCTAATACTGTGTACGACTTAATGTTTGACTGTGTGAAATCCTCCCTCTCTCTGCAGTGACACATGTTGATGAAAACTCATCATAATAAAATAAAATAAATCAGATTTGCAACTATCAAGAGATTGATCATCACCTCTTAAAAGGGCTACAAGAAGTTGCTTTTCGATCTGTTGTGCAGACGTTGCTGCCTGCTAAGAAATAAAATGTTGTGCAGTAAATGTGTCTCAGATGTTTTGAGGAATTCAGGAAACAACAAAGCCATAGCTTTTCCTGATAAAAGGGAGTTAAATCCCACTGGCTAAAGACTTGGCACAAGACTCTGCAAGCAACACATTACAAGTGCAAGAAAGCTCTTCGCTGGATGGTTTGATATGTGTTATCTTTTTATTTTCAAGAAATAAAGGGGTATCTTGAGCAATAAAGAAATAAAATACATGATCAGAAAGTACATAGTTCAACTAGAACAATATTAAAAGAGCGGTGCCGGCATGTGTTGTGCACCTAGTTTATAGCAGATGAACTACACATTCCTACACACCTTTAGTAATTAGTATTTACTTTGAGTACAGTACACTTTAAGCAAGCGTTATTTCAAACAAGCAGTTCATTGTTCTCCAGACGTTCCAGCTCCTTTATAGTTTCACTTCTATTTCACTGTTTGATGTATAATGAGGAGTATCAAGTTCAAGCATTAATCTTATTTGTACTTTGTACTGTGTGGGCAGCTGCTGTTGAATGTTTTCCTGTGAAATTCAGAAGAAAAATCTGTTCCCTCATATGTAAACAACATTTAGGCTTGTAAGCTGTCCTGCGAAGGGTGTTTTTGATTCAGAACTTCTTTTTGTGTGTAAAACGTTTAAATCAAAAGTCATAAAACATAGAAAAAGAATGACCTTTCAGCCACATTAGCAGTATTTGTCAGTACATCACTTTTGTCTTGACTGAAATAGTTCAACACAGGGATATATTTGCCATGAAATAGACCTTTTTTCACAGCAGCCAGTTTGACATCACTTAGTAGGGTAAACAGATGTTGGACCAATGAGTCAGAGTGCTGCTGTTATATATATATATATACAGGTTGGCTTACTGGAAAGACCCTGCTACACTAAATGGAATGAAACCCTGATTAGTAACCCTGGTAACATCTGTGTTTACCTTATTTCATGTCAAAATGGCTGCTGTGGTTCACATTCATGTCTCCCACAGGATGAGTTACAGTCAGTCGGTCCACTTATAACCTGCAAAACAACATTCCCATCAGCCTCTGCTCTACTTTGTGTTTAGTGCTAATTAATAAATGCTACCATGCTCACACACAAACCTAAGATGGTGGTAAACACTGTAAACATTATACACTGTGAGCATTAGCATTTAGCTCAAAGCACAGCAGCTGTCTCCCAGAGCTGCTGGCACGGCTGTACACTCTTAGTGTTTTTTCATTTCAAGTTCAAAGGGTTTACTGTCATGTCTACTATACTCTACTGTTATAATGAAATATTACTTCTTCCAGACCAGGGTATAAAACCTGATAAAACACAGTTTTGTTTTTGATTGACAGTATATGCAGAGACATATGAAAGAGTATATTTTGATTAAACAAGTTTTTTAATTAACTGGAGGAGGGAAAATACAACCTCCTGTTTTTAGCGTGCAGGGAATTAAGTGTTAAAACATCTGTCAAATTCAACTTAATGATTTCCACACACGCTCCTACAGCTGCTGTGTTCTCAAAAACAGACATCACATAGTACTTTTATCAGCTCTTTCTACTAAATACTACTAAATAAGTGACTAGGATTTGTACAGCTTGTTACTATGACGCACTGGCGATCGCTCACACTGAGAATGTGTTTGTGTCTTGGGATACGCTGTGGGAGTTAAATGACATGTCCACCCCTTCCTCCTCGGCAGGATTTTCCCTTCTTTGTCTTCTCTTCTCGCCAAACTTCTTGGCCACTTTCATCATGTGCTGCTTGAAGGAGGACCCCATGAAAGCGTAGAGGATAGGGTTGAGGCAGCAGTGAGTGAGGGCCAAGCTCTCAGTCACCTGAGCCGCCTGATCCAACACTTTACTCGTCCCACAGTGGGTCACTAAGACGTAGACCGAGTCCATCGCTCGATAGACCTTCAGTATGTTATAAGGCAGCTGAGTGACCACAAACACCCCCACTACTATCAGGAGAACTCGTAGAGCTTTCCACTTCTTGCCTCTGCTCTCAACAGGGAGGCCACTCAGCGCCCGACCCACACTCCAGTAACAGATCACCATAACCAGGAGAGGAAGCAGGAACCCCAGCAGCACCTCTGCCATCTCCAGCACAGCTTTCCCCCCTCCAGCCATTGATGGAGGGTAGATAGCCAGACAGACGCTCCTGTTAGACCCCCATCTCACCTGTGAGAGTATCAAATCAGGAAGACCGAGGATGAACGCTGTTGCCCAAACAACTAAACACATCTTCCAACAGTGTCTCCTGGTGAATATCCTCTGCAGCCACCCTGTCTGGTCTCTACCTTGGGCCCTGGCTAATGCTAAGTAACGATCCAGGCTGATGCAGGCCAGCAGCAGCATGCAGCAGGTGAAGTTGACCGTGTAGCAGGCTGACACAATCTTACAGACGACCTCCCCCAGCTGCCAGCCCCTCGCCGCATCGGCAGCCCAGAAAGGCAGCGTGAAGAGCAGGAGCAGGTCGGCCACAGCCAGGTGGGTCAGGAAGGTGTCCGTCATGGTCTTGAGGCGTTTGAGGTAGGCGTAGACAGCCACGACTAAGGCGTTTCCTGCCAGTCCCACCACCAGACACACAGAATACATGATAGGGAGGAAGCCGGCTGCGAAGGAACGGACGTCACCTTTCTCACAGAGGACAGGGTAGTCCTCATAGCTGAAGTTGAAGCTGATGTTTTCATGGTAAAAGTAGTCCTCCCCTGAGACATCCATGATTATCAGATGAAGCTGTGAAGGAGGACATCGACATAGTCATGGAAAGTACATTTACTCAGGTACTGCACTTAAAAGTCACAGTGAAATGGCATATTTAGCTTCTGTAATGTGACAGTAAATGAGATACGGTATCTGTGATTGGATTGTGAAAAAACTGACAATACCGAGCTACACACTAGAGGACTGCATTGGGATTGGGATCCTGCAGGACCCAACACAAATCTCTTGGGAACAGGCGGTTTTGACTTTGCTGGAGCAGACAGTCAAAAAAATAACCTGCGGCTCCAAGGATTTACTTTGCACCCACCAGAAGGATAAAGACGGAGTCAACTAATTCCTGACACAGTAACATAACGCCTTCTCACCACCAAATCACATTTGATTAGACAAATTTATGTTTAATAAGAGTCATCAAAAGTACACATATTTAACATGTAAGAGATGAAGAATGAACCCAAACACAGAACCTGGAAAATTTATTTTCCATCTCACTGTGTCTTTAATCATTACAAATTCAGTTGGAGCAACAATATGTTCACATTTAGATTTTGTTGGCAGAGAAAATATCTTTAATCAAAGAGGAACAACAAATGTAAAATTACCAGATATCATGAGCAGCTGTGGTCAGTGTCTGGATTTAATGCTCTCATTACAAAGCTTTCAGATATGAGCTGTCTTTAGATTTACAGCTGCACTGTAACTAGACGTGCACGAAAACAAGAAAATGCTCTTTGTGGGGAAAAAATAAACCTCTAGTTTGGGCAAAAACATTTAAAGAATTACGTCTGCAAGTGATTTTGTGATCGTAGGCTTATTACTGTGCTGCGATAACATCAATGTCAACATCCCGTGTTGACATCTGGACAGTGTCCTAACCTGAACTGTTGCTCTCTGTTGTACCTTCACTGAGATAAATACGTTTATTCTGCCTCCCTGCTGTGTGATAAGTACAAAGGGCAGAGAAAGATAGTTTCCAAGTGCATATAGTATAAACAATCAAAGTTCCCTGAAGATTGCCCTGCTGAAATTCCTCCTCTGTATAAATAAACACTCTGAGGATGAAGAGTTGTATTTTAAACAAGGACACCTCCCACATACGGAATAATTTATTTTTAAAGTAGTGAGAACCACCTGCTAAGACCTTTTAGAGTGTAGCATTTAGTTTTAGTCTGTATTTGACGACCTGGGAATGAGAACGGGCTGTGAAGTGTGTAGGAGAAACTACGGTGGCTGCCAAACTCCCAAAAAAGGCAAAGGATCCTACAGCCAGTGTTTGGTTTGTGTGTTCTGGCTGTTCAACAACTACAACAGCGTCTGTAGATATAAAGCAAATGTTAACCTATCGTGACGTCACTCATTGGTTTGTGGAGTACGGCTCTGAAGCCTAAAGTTTGATTGTTGCCATGACAGTTTGTTGGAGCCGGCGAAGGTGACGTACTGCGAGTTGAGCTGCTCTCAATGGCTGCGCAGTTTCAACTCGTCCGTGGCAGGAAACAGTGGCGGCTTGCATGATCTCATATTAGAGCTAATCCAATCCAATCCAACTTTATTTGTTAAGCACTTTAAAAACAACCAAAGTTGACCAAAGTGCTGTACCGGAGAATAAATAGGACATCATAAATGTAAACAGTGATGGTAAGCAGTATACTAAAATATGTTTCTGAAACTATTTTAGGTGAGATATAGGTCAACACAGTAACAGAATCTTGATTTATATTTGATCAGCACTGCCTAGTTTGACAGTGTCTGAGCTGGACAAACTCACTGAGAATGACCTGTCAATCATAAGGTAGCCACGCTCTAAAGCATACACGGCATTATTGGCTATTTTACTTTAAATTGGACCATCATTTACTAAATGAACATCATGCTGTATGGAAGAAGACTTGAAACTAGAGATTGAGACCGCTACTGAGCTTTACTGAGCTCATGAATCAAGTGAGAAGTCAGGTAATTTCCCCATAAGAATGCATGGTATCTGTGTGTTAATGCAGCCAGGGGAGCGCCCCCTGCTGGCCTTTACACAGAATGCAGGTTTAAGACAATTCCACGCTGGTTTCACTGTCCATTAAATATACTGTCAATGAGAATAAACAGCTCATTCTAAGGTAACAAAAACACAACGATTCCTGTATTCAGATGATTATACACGACTGTAAACAAACCTATTTATATTATATTCCATTTCTGACAATATTTCCTCCTAAATGTTAAACACTGGACCTTTAATGAATGAGCAATGATAATCTATTGAAGTGATATATAATAGTATAACAGTCACATGGGACATTTTTATACACTTAATACTTTTAATACTATAACATAACTACACTTTTCTGATAATAAAAATACTTTTACTTAAGTAACATTTTCACAACGTGGTACTCTTTTCAAATGTAATGTTATTACTTTACTTAATACTCCATGCCAACAGTTATTAGTTACACTACAAGTTATTTTACTTTTCTGCTACTCCCCCCATCAAAATTGGTAACTGTGTCCCTTCTCCCCAAAACTCAGACTTACTTCCAGGTTTGTTTGTTAAAATTAAAGTAATGGGAATATTTCCAGCTGCTGAACGTCAGTATTTGCTTCTTCCAAACTAGTTTCCTCCATGATTACAAACGTTAATCCAAAGATGTGATTGCAGGATATTAAATAGTTATGATAATATATAATAAAAAATAGTAGAGGGGCAACAAAAGTAATGTTTTACTAGGTTTTTTGGGGGATAACTGTAATATTATTCTTTAAATGTATTAGTAATGAGTTACACCACTAGTTACTGGAACAGTAATTTAATTACTGTAATATTATTAGTAGTAATGAGTTACTGCCCTACATTAACCGTATTAGTATCTGAATACTTCCTCCACCACTAATGATCATATTCTCTAATAACAGAATACATACGGAAATACCAACAGTATAAATTCTTCTAAAATTCCCACATTATTCCCACATTATTCCCACATCATTCCTCACCTTCACATCTGGTTCCCTGCCTACATGTCAGCGGGTTAGATCCTGCACTGACACAAAGTTAGCGCACAGTGGCTGTAACATTGTGAAGTATCTCACTGTACGCTACTAAAAAAGACAGATTAAAGGTTACTCTGTATCTGCGCAATGTTTGATCGACACTGAGGGTGTTTTATCCACCTACCTGTCCCGGTTAGTGGCGCCACAGAAGCTCCTGACTACGTGCTGTGTGTGTGTAGGGTCGGGCTGAGAGGGTGCGTTTGATTTTACACCCAGCGCAGCACAAGTGGGTGGACAGTAAAAGAAAACCCCCAACATGCTTTATCAGACTGTGCTCAGTGCGGAGATACTGTTAGACTGTCTTTGCAAAAAAAAAAAGAGAGAGAGCCTAAATATCACGGAAAAACTATAAACGCCTCAAGGGAACATTTCCTTCTGATTAAGACATTTTACTGAGAGGTTATTCTGACTCTGCAGCAAGGAAGTACAAAGATTTGTTTCTAAAAAAGTAACATTTAATGCTTAAAAAGGACACCTATGAGTGTTAAAGCTTATATAAATTGATTATAATTGCTCATGCATTCATGTAAAACCAGGTTTTTACTGTTGTAGTTGGTTGAGATGTTGCTCTCTTATTGTATAGAACTGCAACTAATGATTATTTTCATTATGGATACATTTGCTGATTGTTTTCTCCATTAATTGATTGATTGTTTGGTTTGTAAAACTGCAGAAAATAGAGAGAAATTATGTTATAATTACTCCAAAGTGACACCTTCACAGTGTCCAACAACACATTTTATTAGCTCTTCATAAGGTTTGTGTGTAAAAGTCTTTATTTGTAAAGCAGTAGAAGCTGTCAGATATGTCTAGTTAAGTAGAAAGTAACATATTTCTGTCTCAAATGTAGTGAAGAATAAAGACTCAAGTAAAGTACCTCAAACTTTTACTTAAATACAATATTTGAACTACCTTCCACCACTGGACACAATGAAGGAAAAAAATGGTGAAATGTAAAATATCTGTATAACGCACTTACCCTGAAAACATCTTAATTTTCCTTCCTGAAGTCTAACGTGTATTTGTGTCATTACCACAAAGAATTACCACAGGTTCATATTAATAAAACAAAACATAGTCAATAAATAAATAATTGTGTATTATTATAAAGACAAGACTTTATGCCACACTGCGTTATAACTTCTTTTGTTTGAATTTTATGTTGATTTTGATGCACAACACTTTTTTACTTTTACTTAAAGCTACTACAAGGAATTTTGGTTATGAAACAGTCTCAGTTTATTACTGATGCCTCTAAATGACCAACGTAAACACACAAGACCATCAGAGAGAAGATTGGCTGTTTCTATGGAGTTAATTTAATGCCTGTCTTGAAATCAATGAAACAAGGCAGTAGAAACCCCTTTGTCCACAGGGACCGCCAGATTCAACACAAAATGAAAGTTCCTTGTTGCTGCTTTAATTAACATTTTATAGTATTTCTACACTGTAACATTGCTACTTATTCTTAAGTAAAATATCTATTCTTCCACCACTGCTGGACTGGTTTTGACTTTTCAGCCCTGAGTTGCGTCTGCAGGTATTCCCTTCAGGTCTTATACAGACCATACAATGTTATCAATAGGAGAAAGCACTCACTGCTAGTTAAGTTCATTGCTTTGAGGTAATAACCAAACACTCAGATGTGTATATCAGCATTTATATCAACTTAGATCTTCTTTCATCTGGACTGGTAGCAGCGCAATAAGAGAACAGATGCACTTTAGTAAGAAAATCAACCTGACACAATAAAAGGAGGATGACTGAGCCTTTGAAATTTAAAACATTTTCCTTTTTTCTTCTGGAAAGTTTCTTTTTTTTTTTCTCCAGTAAAATATACCAGTTAAAGCTTTGATCATTTGTAACATAACAGATGCGTACATACAGCACATAATAAAACCTATTCTGGAAATGTACTCACCTGATAAGGATCAAATAGTCTTTTCCCCTTGTTATTTGTTTAAATTTAAAAATACTGGGAATACTAGATTGACAGGTGCCCTAAAAAAAATTTAAATGTCACAATATTAAAGGATTATAGGATTTGACCCATGTCTGTAATGTGAATACGCCCAATAATCAGTTCAGAAACCAGACTTACTGTCAGTCAACGCTTGGTTTCCCTGGCCAGAGAGTTGGGAATCAGTCCAGTTTGAAATCCAGCTGAGTCTTATAGCTCCACACACTATAAACACTCTTCTCAGAAGGATGACTCAGAGAGAGAGAGAAAGAAAGAAGTAACAACAGACAGAAACCAAGTCACAAGCAAACCATCCGTCTGAGGTGGATTTTTTTGTTGTTTTTTAAACATGCACGAACATTGAACAATGAGTCAAAAGCAGATGACACAAACAATAAGTCATCACCCATGACAAGTTACCTAAAGTTCAACCTGCACTGTGGCAAACTTTGATGACACTGATGATGTTAAGCTAATAATAAATATGAAATATTACTGTCTTTACTCAGTAGTGAAGAATTTGTTGCACAGACCTGTGCTGTCTTCACTGTAATTTAATTTTTTCATCCACACCCATCTTAAGAAACCCTCTGGCAGCTAAAACCACGAGGAATGTGAAAGATTACCTTTCAGTTTTAATCCACCAAGATTTGGCAGAGACACGTTTCTTTAAAAAAAGAGCTGCATCCTCTGATCAACAGAGATAGTCTGATGCATGTGTACAGAAAAGAGCAGAACTTTTAAGTTTATATTAGTATCTGTGTTAATCTTCTTGTCACTAGTTTGAATTCAGACCAACTGGAAAGAGCTTCATCATCAGTGTAAGAAACATACATGTATGATTAACAAAGCTATGGATGCTGTTTCTACATATAACAGAAAAACATGTTTAAGAAATTAATCACGCTTTAGTCATATGCAACATGTAAGTACAAAACTGAAACACCACATTTTGAAATAAGAGATCCTCTTCATGTCACAACCTCAGACAAATGATGGATGAACACTTAAATAGAAACTGCTTACGTTTCAATATTTTTTCAGTGGCTTTTTTATTTGATGTGTAAAAACAGAACACTGTGGCAAAAAACTGGTTCCACTGATTTTTAACCTCTCATAATGTTTCATATAATAGACTAACCATAAGAAAAAATACATTGTTATTATTATACAGCACAGGAGAGAGTGATCTTTACTACTGGCCCTACTAGCATTTTAGCACGGTGTATATATATATATATATACATATATATATACATATATATATATATATATATATATATATATATACACATATGCATATATATACAATGCAAACTTCATGCAGTCAACAAAATAAATCTTTTACAATAAACAGTTTGTTTGAATAAAATATGCAAGTTTTCATGTCGTCCTCAGTTCTCAGATCTTCATCCTTCTTCCTCTGATCGCTGACAGAAACAAAGCAGAAAAGTCACTGAAGAGTTTGGCAGGAATAATTATATCCAGCAGTGGAAAATATATTAAATTATTGTAAATGAAATAGCAATAAGCAACGAACTCCTGTGGCTTTGAGTGCACAGGTGAGTCTCGTATTTGAGTTCACGATTGGTTTACTTACACAATAGTTAAAATTTTTATCATGGTAAAAAAATAACAGCCTGGTGTCCTGCTCGATATCTGTGGAACAAAAACAAATCCAACATATGAACTCATCGTATATTAATTTCTTTCCTGAAAAAACCCTGTATTTGTGTTCACATGAGAGAGAAGCTCTTACTTGGGACGACGGTTTTGTGGATTTGGTTTATTTTCGTGCTTAGACAACTGTAAAATACAAAAAGAGAATCTCAGACGCAGCTACTGTACACATTAAAGCTGCAGTAGGTAACTTTTTATCAAAATAACTTTTTTGTTATATTTGTTGAAACTTTCACTATATCTTGACAGTAGAACATGAGACAAGTAATCTGTAAAAAAATCTTTTTCCTCTGGCTCCTCCTTGTGTTCCTAATGGGATTTGCGGTGCCCCATCCCATTCCACCACAACATGCACCTTCACAGCTTCTTCAGTCCCACCGTCTTCAGCCACCGTCTTCTACCGACTCCCCAGAGACTCCCCACCCTTCCTTCCGATACCCCTTTATACCTCAACCTTCATCCCTGAACCCTCAACCCTTCTTCCCTTCATCCCTTCATCCCTCAACCCTCGAACCTCATCCCTTCATCCCTCAACCCTTTCCCATTCCATTCATCCCTCCTACAGTACGCCACATCGGTTTACATCTATTCATTATGTGCAATAAACCTTTCTAAATTCCATACATTCATTGGCGTGGTCTTTGTTAGTGAAAGTTGTTTTTCATAATGTAGGTTAAATAAAGTAAAGCAGAATTTAGTCTTACCGGCCGATTTGGTCTACATCGTCCTTGTTTCCAACTACAGTCTGGTCCTTTTTGTCCATTCAGTTGTCTGTGGTGAACAGTTCCTTCTTCGGCCTGTTACAAAATGAGGACAACTGATGCAGTGACACTTAATGTCCCCCTATTTAGTATTTACACACAGTATATAATTTTTTTAAATGGATTAAAACACAATATAATGTGGTTGCAAGCAATGTTTATTAATGTATTTGTCAGCAACTATAACTCCTGAAATTCCTGTGAACACCCAAAAGCCAGATGGACTTGAGAGATCAGGTGAGATATATATATATATATATAGTCAATATATATATATATATATATATATAAGAATCATTATACATTATATGGTTTGTAGATCTGGTTGGTTCGCTCGTGATAGATAGTGGTATTTTAAGTGCCTGTCCTCTTCCAAACAGCGACTTCCCAGATGGTTCTGTGCAACAACCACCTGGTGCAGTCAGGTCACCATTAGGCGAGGCTGTCGTATAAACAGATAATGAATGACAATATAGTTAAACAATAATAATAATACAAAATATATCTTGATAGGAGAAGTTATACTGACTGACAAATACTGCAAATACTATCAGTATTATTATTACTATTAGTTTTCCTTCACAAAACGAAAGGAACAAAATACTGAGATCTAGGCCCACTGTATTTATTTACACCCCTTAAAATCAAGAAGGCCTCGGACCCCTAGTCAAGCTTTGGCGACCCCCATGTTTTGAGAACCACTGATCTATGTGACCTCAAACTGCAAACAGAACAAAAGCATTGTGTTTTGTCTTTCTCAGACCTAAACATTGCATCAGGAAACGCAGTTTAAATCAAGAACCAGCAGCGGGCCTTCTTACCAGAGCATTTGGTTGTTGTTGATCATCTGTCACCAGAGCTGTGTCAGCAGAAGCGAAGGCTGTGATGAGCAGGAAAACCTGCAGAGTCAACAGGACCAGAAGCACAGTTCTGTCCATGGCTGATGAACAGTTTGATAGAGCTGCACACACGTTTTTATATACTCACTGCCTAACAATTAGTTCAAAGTGGTAATAGGAGGCACTTAGGAGGGCGTATGCAGATGGTGTATACACACTGCTATCTGAGGTGGTTTATTTAACAACAAGACTCTCTTTCTTTATCTGCTTCCTTCCCCTGCAGTCCCTCCTTGATCATATCAGTAAAAATATGCAGACAAATTTACAGAGAAAGTTCGATCTGATAACTTGCTTGCTGGAAAAATGCTTGAAGTTTGTGCACCCAAACTGCACTGAAATAAAGACTTGGTTGAAGATGTTTATACTGAATGATGCAAATCATCTTACATAACATAAACTAAAGTATGTCTTCTTCTTCTAGAGCAGTATTACCTCCTCTGTTTTGATTTTCAGAGTACAGAAATGTAGAGTATTTACAATCAGCAGACCACCGCAGACAGCTGGAATCAGTGTTAACCAGTAATCAGAAGAGTCTAAACTACACACAATCTGTACTCAAGTAGAAGTACAGATACTTGAGTAAAAGAAGGCGTACTGATTCAACTTCTTTACTCAAGTAAGATTTTGATATTTACTCAAAAGTATAAAGAAGAGCTCTGTTGGTTCCTCTGAACCAATTTCAGACATTTTACCAGCTGCTTCTGAACTGAAACTTCACACAGGGTCGAGTCTCCCTCTCTAGTCTGTTTCATCTTGTTACATCTGTCACTTTATTATCTTGATGTTATGAAGGCAATAATAATAATAATAATAATAATAATAATAATATTTCAACTCAAATGCATTCAAACTAAAGTAATGAGCCTGTTCTGAAACTATAAGGAGAAGAAACTGCATATATTTGTGTAATTTGTGCAAAAGTAAAAGTTTGCCAGAAAGATAAATACTCAAGTAAAGTACAGAAACCTGAAATTAAACCACTTAAGTAGAGTAACAAAGTATTTGTACTTTATTACGTGGTTTTATTGCACACATCCCAGTTCAACTGTGGGAAAGCAGTTAACATGTTTAACCAGCTTTACCAGAATAAATATTTAGATTGAACTGTTCTCAGTTTTGTTGATTGTTAGAAAGTAATAGCGAATATAATCTATGATGGAACCCTAACAACTGATCACTCCTTATGTATTCTTATTTCTAAACTACTTTAACTACATTTGAACAAAACTTCATATCTTAGATGTTAATGTTTCTTCTCCAGTTCTTTCTTTGATTACTAATAAGTTTGAATAGCTTCCAACATGATTTCATAGCAGCGATGGACGGATGAACCTGCACACAGTCAGCATTTCAAAGGATGAATGGTTGAGCCTTTTATTTAAAAATGACAAATTGCTGTTTGTTATTAAAATGGGAGCACATGCAGTGTATTGCAATATAATATTAGCATTGAGAGGATGTGTTCTATGTTATTGCTTTAAAATATTAGCATAAAATATGAATATAAAGACTTTATATTCACAATGCAAATGGAAAGGCAAAAGATAACAGCTTTCTTGAGGAGGAGACGTCGTTACTGCAGGTTTTCATGTCTTCAGTTCTCTTCGCTTGTTCCATTTTCTCCTGAACACCGACAAAAAAAAAAAAGAAAAAATAAAGTCATGAGACAGAGAACAGTTAGAAACATTTCAATATGTGTGTAATGGATCTATTACAGGATCTCCAAAACATGTACAAGTTCACAATATATATATATATGATCTCTCTATGCTAATATTCATTCTCAAAATATGAAACATATTTACGTTTCAGAGAAGGATTTAGAAAGCGGGAGGGATTGCTGTACTTGCAATCTGTAAACAGAGAGAAAAACAGAGTCAACGTAAACAGTGACAGCCCGTCTGCTGAGCTCGCTGTCTGTCTGAGTTGTACCTGAAGGCAGCACAATCAGCAGCACTGTACACACCTGAGCCTGTTGAGCTGTGTTGTTTCACCTTTTCTTTTGCAGCATGTACTCATTCATCCACTCACTACACCCCTGATATTACAGACTAGACCTGCTGATTTGTGTGTATATTATGTATTTGTTGTAAATACTTTAGTTTTCAATATACCTTTGTGTCTCCAGTATTCTTCTCAACAGGGTGTCCCTGTGACAGAAAAAATGCAAATGATTACTATTACTTGGTATCAGCACTGCGATTAACACAAACAAACTGGTATCAGTCTTTTTTAATGATGAGTATCTTCAGCAACTGTTTCATGATATAGATTGTAACAAATTCACTTATTTACATTCAGTCTCACCAGGGCCATAACCGAACATCCACCTGGTCTCAAAGAACAATTGAAAAATCTTTGTTTTTGTCTTTTATTTTCTCTGAGCTCACTCATTCTCTCCACCTGTAACAACATCGGGAGAAATTAGCCTTTCTGTGCAGAAAACCACCTCATTCTACAGTTGTATTCAAAATCACATGTATTAATATGTGCAATGACTCCAAACTGCAAATACAAACAGAACAAAATCACAGTTTTTGACATTTAGACCTTTTTTGTATGCATGTACTCATTCATCCACTCACTACACCCCTGATATTACAGACTAGACCTGCTGATTTGTGTGTATATTATGTATTTGTTGTAAATACTTTAGTTTTCAATATACCTGTTTGTCTCCAGCATTTTCCTCAACATGGCCTCCCTGTGACAGAAAAAATGCAAATGATTACTATTACTTGGTATCAGCACTGCGATTAAAACACACACAAACTGGTATCAGTCTTTTTTAATGATGAGTATCTTCAGCAACTGTTTCATGATATAGATTGTAACAAATTCAATTATTTAAATTCAGTCTCACCATGCCCATAACCGAACATCCACCTGGTCTCAAAGAACAGTTGAAAAATCTTTGTTTTTGTCTTTTATTTTCTCTGCGCACACTCATTCTCTCCACCTGTAACAACATCGGGAGAAATTAGCCTTTCTGTGCAGGAAACCACCTCATTCTACAGTTGTATTCAAAATCACATGTATTAATCTGTGCAATGACTCCAAACTGCCAATACAAACAAAACAAAATCACAGTTTGAATCAGCATCATGAATCTTCTTACCAGATCAAGATACTGTTGTGGTTGATCATCTGTCATCAGAGCGGCTGCGTCAGTAGAAGTGAAGCTTGTGATGAGCAGGAAAACCTGCAGACTCAACAGGACCAGCAGCACAGTTCTGTCCATAGCTGATGAACGTCAGAGTTTGATACAGCTGTGGAACTAACAGGCCTTTATAAACTCACTGCCAGCTCATCATTACCACATTAACAGAGAGGAGGAGATTAAAAAGGCGTATGCAGACGCAAAATAACCTTGTGTGCGCCATCTGAAATGATTTGTTTAACAAGTCCAGTTTCATCATGATATTGACTTCCTGTATGTTTGATCGAAATCTCTTCTTCCTTCTGTTGCTATCATGTTTGTTTTCATCCCCAGATGATTTAAACTAAATAAATACAGAAATATCAGAACCATGTTCACTCTTTGCAATTCCCAAACCTAACAAATCATCTTACATAACGTAAACTAAAGTATACCGCCTTCTTCTAGAGCAGTATTACCTCCTCTGTTTTGATTTTCAGAGTACAGAAATGTAGAGTATTTACAATCAGCGGACCACCGCAGACAGCTGGAATCAGTGTTAACCAGTAATCAGAAGAGTCTAAACTACACACAATCTGTACTCAAGTAGAAGTACAGATACTTGAGTAAAAGAAGGCGTACTGATTCAACTTCTTTACTTAAGTAAGATTTTGATATTTACTCAAAAGTATAAAGAAGAGCTCTGTTGGTTCCTCTGAACCAATTTCAGACATTTTACCAGCTGGTTCTGAACTGAAACTTCACACAGGGTCGAGTCTCCCTCTCTAGTCTGTTTCATCTTGTTACATCTGTCACTTTATTATCTTGATGTTAGGAAGGCAATAATAATTATAATAATAATAATAATAATAATAATATTTCAACTCAAATGCATTCAAACTAAAGTAATGAGCCTGTTCTGAGACTATAAGGAGAAGAAACTACATATATTTGTGTAATTTGTGCAAAAGTAAAAAGGTTGCCAGAAAGATAAATACTCAAATAAAGTACAGAAACCTGAAATTAAACCACTTAAGTAGAGTAACAAAGTATTTGTACTTTATTACGTGGTTTTATTGCACACATCCCAGTTCAACTGTGGGAAAGCAGTTAACATGTTTAACCAGCTTTACCAGAATAAATATTTAGTTTGAACTGTTCTTATTTTTGTTGATTGTTAGAAAGTAATAACGAATATAATCTATGATGGAACCCTAACAACTGATCACTCCTTATGTATTCTTATCTCTAAACTACTTTAACTACATTTGAACAAAACTTCATATCTTAGATGTTAATGTTTCTTCTCCAGTTCTTTCTTTGATTACTAATAAGTTTTAATAGCTTCCAACATGATTTTATAGCAGCGATGGACGGATGAACCTGCACACAGTCAGCATTTCAAAGGATGAATGGTTGAGCCTTTTATTTAAAAATGACAAATTGCTGTTTGTTATTAAAATGGGAGCACATGCAGTGTATTGCAATATAATATTAGCATTGAGAGGATGTGTTCTATGTTATTGCTATAAAATATTAGCATAAAATATGAATATAAAGACTTTATATTCACAATGCAAATGGAAAGGAAAAAGATAACAGCTTTCTTGAGGAGGAGACGTCGTTACTGCAGGTTTTCATGTCTTCAGTTCTCTTCGCTTGTTCCATTTTCTCCTGATCACCGACAAAAAAAAAAAGAAAAAATAAAGTCATGAGACAGAGAACAGTTAGAAACATTTCAATGTGTGTGTAATTGATCTATTACAGCATCTCCAAAACATGTACAAGTTCACAATATATATATATATATATATATATATATATATATATATGATCTCTCTATGCTAATATTAATTCTCAAAATATGAAACATATTTACGATTCAGAGGAGCATTTAGAAAGCGGGAGGGATTGTTGTACTTGCAATCTGTAAACAGAGAGAAAAAGAGAGTCAACGTAAACAGTGACAGCCCGTCTGCTGAGCTCGCTGTCTGTCTGAGTTGTACCTGAAGGCAGCACAATCAGCAGCACTGTACACACCTGAGCCTGTTGAGCTGTGTTGTTTCACCTTTTCTTTTGCAGCAT